ACACTACACCAGCTCATAGAATGACAAATTAAATTATTTTCTTATGTTATTTGTGGCTGATAGTATTTGTGAAAAATAAACATTGGCCTTAAATAATCAATGCATGAATGGCCTGCACACACTGTAAGACTATCATAACCATTCTTTACACTTTCAGGTGCTTCTGCTGAACAGTATGAGACTATGATGGAACACATGGAAAAGTACATGATAACTAGACTTTACAAAATTTTGTTCTGTCCACCCACCTGTGACGATGAACAAAAAGATTTAGCGATTCAGAACAGAATACGAAGACTACACTGGATCAGTGCTGAAATGCTGGATGCCGATATCGACAGTACAAAACCTAGCGTGATAGATTACATTGAAAAAGCCCAGACAGGTGAGTTGTATTTGATTATCCAATCTTGTATCATGACAAATTTTTAAACTCAGTAGTTGAGTAAACAGTTCAAATTTACTAGTACAGCAAGGTTCAGTCTTACCCACAAGTATTTTAGATAATTAGTGTCAATTTGATTTAATATTTGAATTATGGATTTTATATCAGTTGACTGTGTCACATTAGATATGGAACCGAAGTCCTAAATTGCTACCATAAACCTTTCGTTCATTAGTCCATGAACAAAATATTTTTCAGGCTGGGGATTTAAAAAATGGAAATTCTTTCTTTATTTTGAGTGGTGAATTATTGATTAGGTTAGTTAGTGCTAACATAATTGAACAATTAGAGATGTAAATGAGGTAATTTTGAGCAGACGAAGTGTGAAACATATAAACAAAACACAGAAACACTTTTCTTCTGGTGGTTGAATTGTTACATGAAATAAAAAAAAAGTATTATGTATTATTATTATGTAAGTATTATTATACAATCTGGCAGTAAAACAGTATTATTTCTCTATCCATATAACACTGGACAGATGTGTTCGAAAAGTCTTATTTGGAAAAGTGCATCATGTTGACGTCGCATTTCTTCTGTTTACATCAGATGCAGCATCTGACCAAAATACACGTAGAATCACGTCATTGAACACAAACAATACACAAGCACTGACACTTTTCACTGGCATTTTAGGCTGTTCTGTCTCACTAATTAAGAATCGACAGAAAAAGATGTATCATAATGAGGTTATCACAAAAATACCACAAAATATGCACTCAGTATGGTAACGCATCAACCTCTGCTACACTTCATGTATACTTTACAATAACCTCCATTTATTTTAACCCAAAACAGGTGGACCAACTATAACAGTGGTACTTCAGTATTGTGCTCTAATCAGAATGTTTCCTATCTCATTTTAGATATTATAGAGATGAATTCTGGACGTTCACCTATAGACAAACTACTGTGTATAGTCAGATGTTCTAAGAATATTTTTCAAGTATTGAACATATCACGAGGGCAGCCAGCAAGTGCTGATGATTTTTTACCTGTATTGATCTACATAGTACTCAAAGCCAATCCACCCCAGTTGCATTCTAACATACAATATATCACACGGTTTGCTAATCCAAATAAACTTAATCAAGGCGAAGTGGGATACTACTTCACCAATCTGGTGAGTACATATTGCTTACTAATTTTATACATGTAAGCTACAATATCACCAATACCGAATTCTGCCGTAAATTTGCCCATCCGAAAAATCGCTCTGGGGTTCAAAATTTAAAAAAAATATCATCAAATATTTTTGGGGGACTTGTATTTTCATCCACCTACGCCGACTTTCAACGCCAGCAGTTGGACCACCTAAAATGAAAGAAACTATTGCAGAAGCTAAATTTTATATATTTTTTTTCTTGTTGAATTAAAAAGTAGACTCCCTAAAATTTCATTACAGTGTCACCCAGCGCATCTTTCTCAAAGAAAAAAAATCACATTAACGAACCTTGTGCGTCAAATACAATTATTTTTTTTTTTTCATTTTATTAATAGCGAAAGTATATTCTAAAAGAAGTTTAAAATAAAAACGAACACAACTGCAATAGCAAATGATCGCAGTAGCGCAATCCAGTCATGCTGCGTTTCACAATTCGTTGAACTGTTAGGAAATGCAAATAAATTTCAACTTATTTCATCATAAGCAAATGATTCAGGTCGCATTTTAAAAAATATCTGCTATCTTTTGACCTAGACGTTGTTCTTTGACCTGACAGGTGAAATCGCTAATTAACCAATGAAAACGATAGATGATGTCAATGTGTTCAAATTACCATAGCTCATTTAAATATGTTAATGTTATTGAACGCAGCACAGAAGAGATTTGCTGATGTTGTTGTTTGATCTTTTGGCTTGGATTTTGATGGGAAAGCGACATGATTTGTTCTTAAATAAAAAAAATTAGTTGTTTTCAAAAGATAAACTGAGCATTTGAAGAGTAATTTAATATTGTTTACAGTGATAGCAGCTCATTGAAGAAACAAAACTTATACCCATTCACGCTAGTCGCAATAAACATCATACTCTTGAATAGGCGTCAATGACTACGGTGAAACTTTCAGGCATCAGAATAGATGAAAATAACACATTAAAAAACTGCAGAAAAATCACAATTTCTTAGTACCAATTTATTTTTTTAAAAAGCCCAACTGCCATTTAACGGCCTAGGGCGAATTTACGGCAGAATCCGGTATATACTCCTCATAACTGGTCCCCAGTTCTGTGTATGCATAAAGTTAAAATTTAATAAAATTTTACTTTCCAACACAAAAAACCAATCATCAATGGATTACTGATAGTGATAATACCAAGTCACTAGGAAAATCCAGATTTTCTCTTTATTTGTACACCAGTCCC